ATAGAGTTTACTAAAGTCTATATTCATGAACAAAATCACGAAATTCGATTGATTCCTTAAAAGAACATTTAGAAGAAGAAATGAAGAAAAAAGACCACATACATACACAATTACACATCTATTCTATATAATAATCCGATAAAATTTTTCATCTTCGATTCACCCTCTTTGGTATTTTTTCAATGTATTTTATCGAACTGCAATAATAAAAAACGATTCTGTAGAAATTTTCATAGAATTGAAAAAAAAATCCCAATTTTAGCATTTTGCGGGGACATCGAAAAATCCATTTTTCTGTTTTTTTGTTGATGATCTCTCTTTGCATTTTTTCTATTATATCTGATCAAAATTACATCATAGAAATGAAAAATATTAATATTCCTTTGTTATTTGAAAAAAAAAAAATTTGAATTTTCCGAACATCAAAAAATCGATTTTTTTATTGTTTTGCTGATTATCTCTCTCTGTATTTTAATCATTCCCTTCCATTGCAATGAGATTACATAACCGAAAAGTATTGATGTCCCATGATTGTTTCGAAAAAAAAACAATTTAAAATTTTCAGGAAAGCATTAAAAAATTCGATTGTTTATTTTCTTATTGATCCTTCATTTTCTTGATTCCCTGCTGTTAAAATCACATCATAGGAACTAAAAATATTGGTTTCCCTTGATTATTTTTGAATGGAATGAAGGAATCTTCAAAATTTCCCGGAGATATATAAACGGTTCGCTGTTTATATTGTCAATATGTTGGCAATTTGGAGGAATGAAGACACCAATTAATGGAAAATTTGTGTGTGTAATTTTCGGGGTGGAATATACTTCATCTGGAAGTATTTTTTTGGCCATTAATGACACAAAATACGGGGGCGTAGCATTAATTCAAAAAAAAGTCCTATCCGGGGTGAAAAGTAAGAAAAAAAAATCAGGAATAGATTCAGATTCATCTCATGATGAACGATGGAGGAAATAAAGAGAAGAGGATAATTTACTGAACCCTGATTTTTGTATTTGATAAATGAAGGAGATTGGCAAATCGGAACATCGTCATCTTGATAATTTTCCTTAATTACGATTAGGAATTTCTGAAAGAATAAAATTGATTTTTAGAATTGTTGAATTAATTGATTGATGGCTGTTATCGGTCCTGTTCAATTACCTCATTCTGATTCTTCCGGCTCTATCATTATTTTGGAATGAGTATCATATTCTTCAAAAAATATAATTTGGTCTTTTGAATCGATAAGCCATTCAAACTCAGAGTACTGTCGTTCTCGAAAAGTGCCANGACATCGAAAAATCCATTTTTCTGTGTTTTTGTTGATGATCTCTCTTTGCATTTTTTCTATTATATCTGATCAAAATTACATCATAGAAATGAAAAATATTAATATTCCTTTGTTATTTGAAAAAAAAAAAATTTGAATTTTCCGAACATCAAAAAATCGATTTTTTTATTGTTTTGCTGATTATCTCTCTCTGTATTTTAATCATTCCCTTCCATTGCAATGAGATTACATAACCGAAAAGTATTGATGTCCCATGATTGTTTCGAAAAAAAAACAATTTAAAATTTTCAGGAAAGCATTAAAAAATTCGATTGTTTATTTTCTTATTGATCCTTCATTTTCTTGATTC